AAAAAACCTAGTAAAGGGGGCACCCGGATTTGAACCGGGGACCTCTTGATCTGCAGTCAAATGCTCTACCACTGAGCTATACCCCCTCTACCGACAACGCAACGCAGGCAGTCCCTTAGTGTTACTGCTGCGCAGGCGTGGTATGCTGCTCCCGAAGGGAAGTGGAAAGTTGGGTGGGACGTTTACGAGAGGTGGAAAAAATACAACTCCCAGAAAATCCACTTACTTGGAATCAGGGATTGTTTCCTGAAGCTCTGAGCTGAAGATTCCCACTGACGGTGCAAGAAAATGTATTCCTGGGGTGTGGAAGGAGTCTCGAAATCTCTCACTTCGGGGCGTCCCACTCTCCTGCCCTGCAGGAGCCCCCTTGCCACGTGCTCACGCGGCTTCTCCGGGCCTGTCTTCCCAGCCCAGCCCTTAGAAACTCAGCCTCCCTCCAGCGATGGAAGAGCCGTCACGGTCACTGGCCAGGCCGACCTGGGGGTGCGCCGCCTCCGCCCGGCCATTGCGAGGTTGGGCCACCCGCACCGTGTTCCAAGGGTCAGCCCGGAGCTCCTCGCTCTCACTGCACTGCATTCCACCCTTGGATATACACACAGGCTGAGCCACTGGTACGGGCCAGGACTCCATTTTCACTCGCCTGCAAAGGAAAAGAGGGTGGCAAGGCCTGCGACTCCCTCCCTTTCCATCTGTGCGGGAACTCTTTAGGGGACCTCCGGAGACTAACAAAACGCGAGAACTCCAAAGAGCAGAGGGGGCACCCGAATTTGAACTGGGGACCTCTTGATCTGCAGTCAAAAAACACCGAGCTATCCCCCCATCACGCCGTACTGTTAACGTAAGTTTCTGTGGGATAGGGGTGTGGTATTCAGCCTCCCTTTTGCTATTTTCATTTTTATTTTTAGAGACAGAGTTTTGCTCTTGTTGCCCAGGCTGGAGTGCAGTGGCGCGATCTCGGCTCACCTCAACCTCCGCCTCCCAGGTTCAAGCAATATTCCTGCCTCAGCCCCTGAGTAGATGGGATTAAAGGCAGCAGCTGCTATGCCCAGGTAATTTTTTGTGCTTTAGTAGAGACGGAGTTTCTCCATGTTGGCCAGGCTGGTCTCGAACTCCTGGCCTCAAGTGATCCACTCACCTCGGCCTCCCAAAGTGCTGGGATTACAGACATGAGCCACCGTGCCCAGCCCACTTTCCCTTAAAGTTTTAATCTGAAGGTTGCGTCAAGATACCGATTTTTTTAAAGCACAAAATACAGTGGGAATGGCTAGAACTCCCGAGTTCTTCCTCCACAGGCACTCTTTAGGAAAAAACCACTAGATTAAGGAATCCTGGGTCCTCTACATCTATGCCCAGACACTCCCCAGATGTCCACTGACTGGCTTGGGAAAAGGACTGTTCCCAGGACCGTCCCAGATCTAGTGATGTACAGATGAAGAGACCGCATCTCCATCTTGTCTCCTGGGCTTTTCCAACGCCAGGATAACTCCTCCCCTTCTCATCAGACCAAAAGGCGGTTTGAGGAACAGGCAGAGGAGAAGGCAGAACTAAGAGGTGGGCAGTTTTCAGTAGCATTTATTACAACTTTTTTTTTTCTTTTTTGTGTCTTGAGAAAATAGCATGTATTACAGCTTTATAAAAATCCTAATACAATTTTTATAAATCATTACACAAAGAAACAAAATAAGCAGCCCCTGTAGGAATCCGGCATATTTGGAAGAAGTGGGATTCACATTGGAAGGACACTAGAAGTGAGGGGGATGCTATGGAGTGGCTGAAAGTCCAAGAGCTGTGACCAAAGCCAGCACCCCCGAGGAAATGGGAAGACGAGAGTGGAATCCCTGCAGTGCACAGGGCTGTTCCTTTCTGGGACGTCCTGTCCTCCTCTGTTTCCCCTTCCAGTTTTTGCCTCTGCCCTCCTCTTCTCAAGCCCACCTCCTTCACCCTCTGGAATCTCCTTTGCCCAAAGGGAATGGGACAAAAAATGGCTGAGGGGCCAAAAAGCCTGATGGTGTGGGTGTGTTTGAGGAAATGAAGAGCAATTCCATGGGTCTCTTTTTTTTTTTCCAAGACAGAGTTTCACTCTCATTGCCCAGGCTGAAGTGCAGTGGTGCGATCTCTGCTCACTGCAGCCTCTGCCTCCAGATTCAAGTGATTCTCCTACCTCAGCCTCCCAAATAGCTGGGACTACAGGCATGTGCCACCATGCCCCGCTAATTTTTGGTATTTTTAGTAGAGACTGGGTTTCACTATCTTGGCCAGGCTGGTCTCGAACTCCTTACCTCAAGTGATCCACCTACCTCAGCCTCCCAAAGTGCTGGGATTACAGGCATGAGCCATTGCACCCGGCCTCAGGGGTCTCTTAATCTGCCTCCTAACACACACATATTTTTCCTATAGAGACGCTGAGGGCTGAGGAGAGGAGAGGGTTCCACTTACTAATTCTGCAATGGCATTTCCCTGATGTCTCCAAAAAGGATGCCTGAGGCCATGGCGTGAGGGGCAGCTTATTCTGCTGTGCTATCTGCAGGAATCCAGGGTATGCAGTTCAGCTTTTCAGCAACGAGTTGGGAGGATGGTGTCAATCTCACTGTCCATAGCAGCCGCTGCTCCCACCAGAGAACCATAGAAAAGTAATAAATAACCACTTGGTTTTCCACCCATATGGGCCATGCAAAACCCCAAAGTTTCTGGTTGGCTTCAGGCTGGGACATCAGTTAGCCATGGCCTGAGATCCATTGGAGCCTGGCTTGCAGCCTGAAGGGAGGGAAGAACAGGAAGAATCAGCATATCCCAAGAGAATGACAGTCTTCAAGTCCCCAGCACCCAGAGCGGACTGGATGCAGGAACCTAAGTTACATCCAGTCATTCAATTAACAGAGACAAATTAACTTGAGTACCTGCTTTGCATCAGGTACTGTGCGAGGCTCTGGAGTTAGTGGTGAAAAAGCAGACATGGGCCGGGAGTAGGGGCTCATGCCTGCAATGCCAGCACTTTGGAAGGTCAAGGCGAGCAGATCACCCGAGGTCGGGGGTTTGAGACCAGCCTGACCAACATGGTGAGACCCCATCTCTACTAAAAATACAAAAATTGGCTAGACATGGTGGCACATGCCTGTAATCCCAGCTACTTGGGAGGCTGAAGCAGGAGAATTGCTTGAACCCAGGAGGTAGAAGTTGCCGTGAGCCAAGATCGCATCATTGAACTCCAGCTTGGACAACAAGAGCAAAATTCTGTCTCAAAAAAAAAAAAGAAAGAAAGAAAATGCCGATTTAATTGAACTGACTGTGGGTTGTGGGAGAGGGTTCTCCTGACCCAAGGGGTGGCAAGGATACTGCTAGAAACGTGTCTCCCCTTCTTCAAAAAGATGACTGGGCAAGGTGCAGTACCTCATTCCTGTAAGCCCAACACTTTGGGAGGCCGAGGCAGGAGAATCGCTTGAGCCTAGGAGTTTGAGACCAGCCATGGGCAACATGGCAAACCTTGTCTCTACAAAAAGTGCAAATATTAGCTGGGCATAGTGGTGTGCACCCGTAGTCCTAGCTATTAGGGAGGCTGAGGTCAGAGGATCGCTTGAGCCCAGGAGGTTGAAGCTGCAGTGAGCCATGTTTGCACAACTGTACTCCAGCCTGGGGGCATCAGAGTGAGACCCTGCCTCAAAAAAAGAGGTAGCTGGGTGCCCAGCCTGCCATGATTCTACTTGACACGTTAAGAGGAAAGGGAATTTTCCAGGCCTGATGTAAGGCCCTTTCTGCATGGCCCAGCTCCTTCAAACCCTCAGGTGATTACTCAGTAGCTAGCTGCTCAGTGCCCCTTGTCAGATAACTTACCTACAATTGCAGCATTCCCTCCACACACTTCCAATCTGCCTTTTCTTTGTTTTTGCTTTTGGAAATGGGGTCTGGATACGTTGCCCAGGCTGGACTCCAACTCCTGGCCTCAAGCTATCCTCCTGCCTCAGACTCTCCAGTCGCTAGAATTACAGGCATGAACTACCATGCCGGCCCAATTTCTGTTTCTTACTCTTTATTCCTCTTCCCATTTATCAAGACAGGATCTTGCTCTGTCACCCAGACCGGACTGCAGCAACATGACCGGAGCTCACTGCAGCCTGGAACTCCTGGGCTAAGTGATTCTCCTGCCTCAACCTCCTGAGTAGCTGGGACTACAGGTATGTCCCACCACACCCGGCTTCTTGGTTTTTTTGTTTGTTTGTTTGTTGTAAAGACAGAGTCTCGCTCTGTTGTCCAGGCTGTTCTCAAACTCCTGGGCTCAAGCCATTTATCATTTTCTTTTTTCTTTTCTTTTTGAGACAGAGTTTCATTCTTGTTGCCCAGGCTGGAGTGCAATGGTGCAATCTTGGCTCACCACAACCTCCACCTCCAGGGTTCAAGCGATTCTCCTGCCTCAGCCTCCCAAGTAGCTGGGATTACAGGCATGTACCACCATGCCCAGCTAATTTTTGTATTTTTAGTAGAGATGGAGTTTCTCCCTGTTGGTCAGGCTGGTCTCAAACTCCCAACCTCAGGTCATCCACCCACCTCCACTTCCCAAAGTGCTGGGATTACAGGTATGAGCTGCCATGCCTGGCCGTCATTTTCTAACTGATTATATATTTTTCTTGTTTATCTTCTGCCTCCACTACTGGTTTTTGTCTGTTCTGCTCACTGCTGTTTCTCCAGTGCCCAGAACAGTACCTGGCACAAAGGAGAGCACCTCCAGAAAGATTTGTGGACTGAATTGTGTCATTTACTCTACAGAAACTCTGGGAGGTATGATGATCCTCCTCCTTACAGATAAGAAGTTGAAGGTCAGAGCAAGTCAATGATTTCTGCCTGGAAGTCTTGTCCCCCAGGTTTCCCCAGGGCTGTCTCCCCATGGCTGTCTCCATCTCTTCATTCAGGTCTCAGCTTAAAAGTCACCTCTAGGCCGGGCGCGGTGGCTCACGCCTGTAATCCCAGCACTTTGGGAGGCCGAGGCAGGTGGATCACGAGGTCAAGAGATCGAGACCATCCTGGTCAACATG